TGTAGATGTGTCTAGAAGAAAGATGAGAGTTAAATACCTACTAAAATATTTTAAACCTAAGCAGCCACCAGGACATTCCTTTGATCATGGGCTCAGAATGGGATGCATAGAACATCTCATTGCAACCTGTGCAAGCCAAGGGATGCACCACTGGTTTTGAGTGAGCATCAGCATTATCTCTCCCCAAGTTTTTTTCCACCTCTTTAACTCTCCCCTTTGGTAACATGAGAATAATTTGATGTATTTTAGACGGTGCATTTCCCCATTTCTGGATATTTTCTTACTTTCTTTTTTCTTTCTTGAAAACAAGGATATTAATATCACAAAATGAGGGATTCATGACAATAATCAAAACATGGTGAAAGAAGAGTTGCCATGTACATGGTATGATTCAGTGAAGCAATGTTTATAACTATAAACCCAATGATATGGCACTCACAATTTTTAAAGATTTATTTATTTATTTGAAAGAGTTACAGAGGGAAGGAGGGAAGAGAGAGAGAGAGAGAAAGAGAGAGAGAGAGAGAGAGAGAGAGAGAGAGAGAATGAGAATCTTCCATCTGCTGGTTCACTCCCCAAATGGCCACAATGGCAGGGGCTGGGCCAGACCGAAGCCAGGAGCCAGGAGCTTCTTCCAGGTCTCCCATGTGGATGCAGGGGCCCAAGCACTTGGGCCAAATTACACTGCTTTCCCAGATAACATTAGCAGGGAGCTGGATCAAAAGCAGAGCAGCCAGGACTCAAACTGATGCCGTTCACTCAAACTGGCCCCATTCACACAATTTTTATACTCTTATATATTAGATTCCACAAATACGAGAAAACATTATTTTTGCCTTTCTGGGTCTGGCTTATTTCACTCGGAATAAAATCTCCAGTTCTGTCTAATCTGCAAATATCAGGCTTTCATTCATTTTTTATGGCTGAGTAGTATTCCATTGTGAGTATACAGCACCTTTTCTTTAGCCAGTATCAGCTGATGGACATCTAGGTTGATTCCATACCCTTGCTGTTGTGAATTGAGCTGCTATAAACATGGGGATGCAGGTAACTCTTTAGTGTGCTGATTTCACTTTTTTTTCTTTTGGATATATTCCCAGGAGTGGGATAGCTGGGTCATGTGGCAAATCTATCTTTAGTTTCCAGAGGAATCACCATACTGTTTTCCATAATGGTTCTACTAGTTTGCATTCCTCTCCACAGTGTATTAGAGTACCCATTTCTCCACAGCCTTGCCAGCATTTGTTATTTTTTGATTTTTGGATAATAGCCACTCTACCAGGAGTGAGGTGATACCTCACTATGGTTTTTATTTGCATTTCTCTGATAGCTGATGATCCTGAGCATTTTTTCATGTTTATTGGCCATTTGTATTTCTTCCTTTGAAAAATATCTATCTAAAAATAAATAAAAAAGAAAAATACCTGTTCATATCCTTTATCCATTTCTAAACTGGATCATTAGTTTTGTTATTGTTGAGTATCTTAAGATCTTTATAGATTCTGGATATTAATCCTTTATCAGTTGCATAGTTTCAAATGTTTTCTCTCATTCAGTCTGTTGTCTCTTCACTTTATTGAATGTTTCCTTTGCTATGGAAAAGCTTCTTAGCTTGATGTAATCCCATTTCTCTACTTTTGCTGTTATTGTCTATGTTTATGGGGGTCTTTTTCAAGAAGTCTTTGCCTATGCCAATGTCTTGCAGAGCTTTCCAGATATTTTCCTCTAGAAATGTGATGGTTTCAGGTCATAGATTTAGATCCTTGATCCATTTTGAGTTGATTTTTGTAGAAGGTGTAAGGCAGGGGTCTTGTTTCATACTTCTGCATGCAGAGATTCAGTTTTCCCAGCACCATTTGTTGAAGAGACTGTCCTTTCTCTAGAGATTGATTTTAGCTCCTTTGTCAAAGATTAGTTGTTTGAAGGTGTGTGGATTAATTTCTGGATTTTTATTCTGTTCCATTGTTCTACTTGTCCATTTTTGTGCCAGTTCCAGACTGTTTTGATTACAACTGCCCTGTAGTATGTCTTAAAATCTGGTATTGTGATGCCTCTGGCTTTGTTCTTGTTGTTCAAGATCACTTTAACTATTCAATCTCTTGTGTTTCCAAATAAATTTTAGGAATATTTTTCTAGTCCTGTGAACAATGTCCTTGGAATTTTGATGGGGATCACATTGAATCTGTAAATTGCTTTGGGAAGAATGGACATTTTGATAACATTAATTCTTCTGATTCATAAACATTAAAGCTTTTTCCATTTTTTGTCTTCTATTTCCTTAATGTTTTGTGATTTTCAGGGTAGAGATCTTTCACATCCTTGGTTAAATTTATCCCAAGATATTTAAATTTTTTGTAGCTATTGTGAATGGGACTGATCTTATAAGTTATTTCTCAGTCATAGCTGTATTAATAGATACATATGCTATTGATTTTTGTATGTTGCTTTTATATCCTGCAACTTTGCTGAATTCCCTTATCAATCTATTAGTGGAGTTTTTTGGTTCCCCTATATATAGGATCATGTCATCTGCAAACAGAGATAATTTGACCTCTTCCTTTCTAGTTTGTATCCTTTTAATTTCTTTTTGTTGCTTAGTGGCTCTGGCTAAAACTTCCAGAAATATATGGAATAAAAAGGCGAGAACAAACATATTTTTCTGGTTCTAGATATTAGTGTGAATTCTTGGACTTGTATTATTTTGAGGTTTATTTATTTTAAAGGCAGAGTGACACAAAGAGAGAGAAAGTGAGGAGAGAGAAAGGTGAAAAAGATGCTGAAAGGCAGAGGTTCTGTCTTACAGGCTAAGGTAAATACTTTGATCCTGTGATCACTATATGATGCTGTTTCTCCACAGCCAGAATTATTCATGGGTCCTAGAATCAAGAGATAGAACTTGGAACCTAATAATTCACTCTCAAAGTGTTTCTTCCCATCCCCGCTGGTTGGGAGGTGTTTGTTCCCAAGCGAGGGATGCAAACCATGGGTCCTATTGAAGTGGTTCAGGTGGGCATTGTTGATTACCAATTGTAAGTTATAAATACCAATTCTGGTCTCATGACAGTTCATAAAAGTAAGGAATGTGATAGGTGTATGTGTGTGTAAACTTCTCCATCTTTCTTTTCTGTCTATCTTGTTTGGCTTTATATATTTTTCCTTTAGGTTATAGGGTATTGATGTGGGTTGGTACCTGAACTAGAAGAGGAATGATTCTGTTCTAGAGATGGCTACAGTAGCTAATGGAACTTTTGGTCTTATAGAGGGTGTTATTCAGTTTGTAGGAAGGAGAGTAGCACTGTTTAAGTGTCAATAAGTTGTTGTTGCAATGGAAGGGTTTTTTTTTTTTTTTTTTGACAGGCAGAGTTAGACAACAAGAGAGAGACAGAGAGAAAGGTCTTCCTTCCGTTGGTTCACCCCACCAAATGGCCACTATGGCCAGAGCTATGCTGATCTGAAGCCAGGAGCCAGGTGCTTCCTCCGGGTCTCCCATGTGGGTGCAGGGCCCAAGCACTTGGGCCATCCTCCACTGCCCTGCCGGCCACAGCAGAGAGCTGGACTGGAAGAGGAGCAACCGGGACGGAATCCAGCACCCCGACTGGGACTAGAACCAGGGGTGCCGGTGCCGCCGGCAGAGGATTAGCCTAGTGAGCCGCAGCTCCAGCTGGAAGGTTTGTTTTGTAGATAAGGGTGTGTGTGGATATGGAATAGCAATGGAATAGATATGGAATTAGCACTGGTAATGGTTTTGTTAGTACTAACAAAATTTCCTAAATTAAATCATTTTCTGCTAGAAACACCTTAGAATACATTCTGTTCTCTCCATTGAACCCTGACTGATTATAAACTAGCAAATGAACTGTGCTGTACAAAGCAATTACCTTTCCCTGGATATTTTGGATGTTTAGCAGTAAGCTGAGAAGTCCCTCTGTAAAGCCATTTGTTTCTTCCAACTGTCACTTCCAAGGGAAAAGAGCAATGTAGATCATGGAGTTGCTTGGCCTGATAGTACCAAACATCATATGGACGGGGCCCCCAAAGAGTGGAAAATGGTGCTTCAGAGGGCAGTCTCTTGAGACTGATGGTCATAGATGTCTATAAATGTGTGGCTCTAGACCAATGACATTATCATCCTGCTTGTTTTATTTATTTATTTATTTATCATTCTGCTTGATGATAATAAGGTCCACTTGATGCAGTTTTTGTGCGGATCTGAGGAGCTAATACTTGTAAAGTGCTTACTTAGCACTGAGGAAGGTCACAATAAATGTTAGGTGTTTGTTATTGATATCATTTTGAGTGCTCAGCACACCGTGTACCCAATCAATATTAGATCCATCTTTGCAAGTCTTGGAGTTCAAGAGACCGCATTTGAATTTGGATCATGTGAATTCATTAGGACATCGAAGAGTTGTGCCAGTAGAGCTGATCACTAGACACAATGCTCTTTGGGGGAAGGGCATACAGAGTACTCTGCAAACAATTGAGTGAAACAGGGAAGTCAAAGAGGAGTCTTGCTTTTCTTCCTCCCTGAACTATGCAGTACATGGCTGATGTGGGTGGTATGTGGGCTTTGGCTCTCTTATTCATCTGCCGATCACTGATAGAGATGAGTACAGCAGATCCCGTGCTGTGCTCCCATTAGGTGGTGCCCCTTTTGAGCTCTCTGTTTCATGACCCCTCCACCCGCCTATGCGGGGCTTCAGCTTGGCGATTGGGCCTCTGGGACAGCAGGGCAGAGCGCTCTGTCTGGAGTGCTTGGGTGGTACAGTACTTGCTTGAAGGGGCTTCCCGAGCTTCGAGCTTCGCTGCTTGCTTTTCTCACCCTCTGAAGCCACTGACGGCGGCGCCCATCCTTTCCCCGGGGGCTGCGGCAGACAGAGGCGGGGGTCGCAGCGGCCTCACGGGGCGGCGCTGGGCCAGTGGGCAGGCGCTGGGCCCGCCCCGCCGGCATCCCTGGCCCGACTTCCTCCTGCCGCGGGCGGCCGGCCCAGCTGGAGGAAGCGGCGGCGGCGGCCACGATGAGCGCGGGCGACGCCGTGTGCACTGGTTGGCTTGTCAAGTCGCCCCCTGAGAGGAAGCTGCAGCGCTATGTGAGTAGGGGCTCCCTCGCTCGCCGCCCCTCGCGTCCTCCAGTCCCCGGCGGCAGGGTGGCCCCAGGGAGCCCCGGGACTCTGGGCGCCCCAGGCGCAGCCGCTCCCAGCTCCCGGGGGTGCAGGCGCGGCCGATGGACGGAAAGTGAAATCGCACGTCGAGTCAGGGTCGTTGCTGTTCCCGGCAGCCGGCAGGGAGTCCGGAGCTCTTGCCAGCGGGGCTCAGTGGCTCCAGAAAGCTGTTGACCCTGATGGAGGGGCTGCTCTCTGTGCAGGAGGGGCGAAAAAGCCACCCCGAAACTGCCCCTATCCCTGGCGGGAAGTAGACCTGAGTCTCATCTTTCAGCGAGGGGGGCAGGGCAGGGGAGAGGGACACGGCCCGTGGGAGGGGATGTGCGTGGGCCAGCCGGGCAGGAGGCTGTTGCCTTGCTCCCGCACTGCAAGGCAGACTGTCGAGTAGCTGTCATGGGAAGTTGGTCTCCGGAGCCTTGTACACTAGTGTAACTCATTTCTCATCGCGGAGCTTCTCCACCTTGGCTTTATGCTGACACCGCACTTTTCCAGTGTTAGCGAGAACCGCTGACTTTTTCTACTATGAACTCAGGGACAGTTGGAAGAGCACCTTTTCCTATACATGCCTTTACCGTTTTTAATGTACTGCCCGCAGAACATGCATTCAATAATGTATTGCATGCAGAGCATGCATTCAGTAACTCAAAGTTCTTCTGAAAGACTCTTTCTTGGAGCTACTGAGCGTTCTTCAGCCATTAGAAAGAAAAAAAAAAAACTTCAGTCCCTAGAGAGTTGCATATAAATAGGATTACTTGTTATTTTAAGACATAGAATAGTTTGATGGATCCATCTTGTTCCTAATTCCTTATTTCTGAGCACTCCGGAGCAAGATGGTGCAAAGAAATGCTCTGATTACTACGACCCGCATAGGAAGCAGCCCACCCGCAAGGTGATTGAGCACGTTGCTTACAGCATGCTCTCAAACTGCTGTCCCTGTTGTGGCCAAATTTGACCAATCTTTTCTTGCCCAAATTTCTAGACGTACCATATAGATCTTGAGGAGGACGGATTATAAGAATGTTCTACTGAACAGCATTTTCCAGGGGCTGTTGTTCTACTCAGCAGGTATATATATGAAATGCAGAAAAGTCTCTAGCACTGGGTCTCTACATCAGTGGGTGTTTTTTTGTTTTGTTTTGTTTTGTTTTGTTTTGTTTTTGTTTATTTTTTGTTTTTGGAATCACCAAATTCATAAGCAGGCTCCAGTACCTCTCAGCAAGTGGCACTTGTGTTCCACATTCAGTCTCCTTGTTGCTCTATGAAATACAACAGTTTCACAATACTACTCACTTTCTAGTATGATTCAGAAAAATAGGGAATTTACAGGACAAAGTTTATTGAATATTTTACCCCGATTGGTTTTGCATATTGTCCTACTGGTTCAGGAAAGCGAAGCTGTGTATATCTATGTTCATGAGTGCTTTGTTCTTTCTTAAGTCTCCTCCAGCAACACACATCATCACATTTTTTTGGAAAGTCAGGATACTTTTTGCTGTGAGGCATCTGTTGGGAGAACAGACTTCAAAAAGAAGTCTCTTTTCTGTCATAACTAACCTCTGCAGGAATCCGTTTTGCCACTAGATGGTGATCATAGGTCACTTGTGTAGGGCCTGCATACAAGGTTGCAGCTGCTTTAATTCAGCAGTAATTTCCTTCCATTGACTGTACACAAATTCTGAACAAAGTCCCGGATTAGGCGCTGGGAATATACAGAAAAAAGACTCAATCCCAGTCCTCAAGAAATTCACACTCTAACATCTATAACTCGATAACATAACAGAACTAGTTAGTAGCACAACCATGACAGTAACTCAGTTCTTGGTACTGCTGGGCCCACAAGCAGCACGCCATCAGTGTTTACTGTTACAAATAGAAGCTCATTCTGATTTTAGTCACTTCTTACAATAGTTCATGTTTATTAAATATTTCTATGTGCTGGATACTGTACTGTTTTAATCTCTGGAGACAAGTTCTTTTTTGGAGCTATAACTTGCAAATATTTTTGACCAATCTGTAGTTTTTTTCATGGTATTTATAGTATCTTTTGTAAAATTCTGAAATCCAAAATATCATTTTTTCTTTAGCAGATCATGATTTTAGTAACAAATCTAGAAATTATTCACCTAGTCTAAAATCTCTCCTGTTTTTTTTCTAACATTTTTATAATTTTACATTTTTTAGTTTTGTAAAAGTTGTGAGGTTTATGTCACAGTTCATTTTCTTGCATATGTATTCCATTTGCTATAGTACTACTTATTGAGTACACTGTCTTCGCCATTGGCTTATTTTAACAACTTTGTCAAAAATAAATTCACTGTATTTATGCAGATTTATTTTTATATTCTCTAGTCTGGTTCATTGATCTATTTGTTCATCTTTATTCTGTTTTTCTTTTTCACAATTGTTTTGGCTATTCTATGTCCTCTGCTTTTTAATGTAAATTTTAGAATTACTTTCTCAATTGACTTTATTGACTTTGTATATTCTAGCTTTGCCAAATCCATTTATTAGTTTCAGTACTCTTGTTTATCGTTGGAACCTACAGCACAATAAAATGTTATAGAAATGCTAAAACAATACATACTCGACATTCTCTTGATTTTAGGGGGAAGCCTTCAGTTTTTCACCATTTAAATATGTTAGCTGTAGACTTTTTGTAGGTGCCTTTTACCAAATTGAGGAACTTCTCTTGTGTTGCTAGTTTGCTGAGACTTTTTACAATAAATTGGATTTTGTTCAATGTTTTCCTGAATTTATAAAAAATTTATTATAAATTAAACAGATTTTAGTCTGTTACTATGGTGAATTATACTGATTGAGTTTTGAATGTTGAGTCAGACTTGAATTCCTGGGATAAACCTACTTGGTTGTGATGCATTATTCTTTTCATATATTGCTAGATTTGTTTGGCTGATATTTTGCTTAGGATACTTAGGTATCTGTTCATGTGACATATTGGTCTTTTGTACTCTTTGTCTAGTTTTTATACTGGCATAATGCTGGCCTCATTAAATAAAATGGGAAGTGTTCCCTCCTATCGCATTTTCTGAAATATGTTGTGTTCATTTGGTATTCCTTTGTCTTTAAATTTTTGGTAGAATTCACTACTGAAACTATCTTTGCCTGGACTTTTCTTCATGGGAAGGTTATTAACTACAAATTGTGTTTCATTAATCATTCAGGTAGCTCATGTTTTCTTCAATAAGCTTTGGCAATTTGTGTCTTTCATGAATTTTTAAAATTTCACCTCTATTTCTGAAATTTATTGACATAAGTTTTCTCATTATATTCTCTTATTATCCTTTAAATATGTGTAGGGTTTGTAGTGATGCCTCCTTTTTCACCTCCTTTTTTCACATATGTTTCTGTAATTTATATCTTCTCTGCTTTTTTTTCCTGATCAGGCTGGCTTGAATGTCATGTTTTCTAAGAAAAATGGTTGGTTTCATTGGTCTTTGGTTTCATTTGTCTTGTCTATTCTTTTTCTGCTTTCAATTTTATTGATTTTTTTTCTCTTATCTCCTTCCTTCTGATTGTATTTGGTTTGGTTTTATCACTTTTTTTTTTTTGACAGGCAGAGTGGATAGTGAGAGAGAGAGAGAGACAGAAAGAAAAGTCTTCCTTTTGCCGTTGGTTCACCCTCCAATGGCCGCCATGGCTGGCGCGCTGCAGCCGGCACACCGCGCTGATCCGATGGCAGGAGCCAGGTGCTTCTCCTGGTCTCCCATGGGGTGCAGGGCCCAAGCACTTGGGCCATCCTCCACTGCCTTCCCGGGCCACAGCAGAGAGCTGGCCTGGAAGAGGGGCAACCGGGAAAGAATCTGGCGCCCTGACCGGGACTAGAACCCGGTGTGCCAGCGCTGCTAGGTGGAGGATTAGCCTATTGAGCCACGGCACCAGCCTGGTTTTATTACTTCTTTATCTACTTCTTAAGGTAGAAGCTTAGATTACTGATTTAAGATTTTTTTATTCTTTAATATAAGTGTTTAGTGCTACAGACTTTCTTCTAAGCAATTCCTTAGACACAGCACACAGAATTGGAGATGCTGTGTTTTCATTTTCACTCTTCAAAATATTATTTAATTTCCCCTTGTGATTTCCTCTTTGACCCAAGAGTGGTCCATAAATTTTATGTTTAATTTCCAGATATTGGAGGATTTTCTAGATTTCTTTCTGTTATTTACTTGTTGTTAAATTCCATTATGAGTTAACAACAATTTCTATATGATTTTTTAAAGAGGTATTTATTTTTTTGAAAGTCTCAGTTACACAGGAAGGGAGGGAGGGAGGGAGAGAGAGAGAGAATCCTCCATCCACCTGTTAACTCCCCAGATGGTTGCAATGGCTGGGGCTGGGCCAGGCTGAAGCCAGGAACCAGGAGCGTCTTTCAGATCTCTGCCATGGGTTGCAGGGGCCATCTTCTGCTCCTCTCCAGGTGCATTAGCTTGGAGCTAGATCTGAAGTCGAGCATCTGGGACACGAACTGGCAACTATATGGGATGCTGGTGTCATAGGCAGTGATTTAACCTGCTATACCACGCCAGCCTTTCAGTTTTTCATTTCTAACCTATCAGTGTGCTTATATTTAACATGGGTTCCTTGTATACAGCATATAGTTGTCCTTGCTTTTTTGATATTCTTACCTTCTTTGTTTTAATTAGAATATTTATTTCATTCAGAGTGTGATTTTTAAAAAAGATTTATTTATTTATTTATTTGAAAGTTAGAGTTACACAGAGAGAGAAGAGATGCAGAGAGAGAGGTCTTCCATCCACTGTCTTCCAATTGGCTGCAAAGGCTGGAGCTGCACTGATCCAAAGCCAGGAGCCAGGAGCTGCTGCTGCTGCTGCTGCTTCTTCTTCTTCTTCTTCTTCTTCTTCTTCTTCTTCTTCTTCTTCTTCTTCTTTTTTTACAGGCAGAGTGGATAGTGAGAGAGAGAGACAAAGAGAAAGGTCTTCCTTTGCCATTGGTTCACCCCCCTCTAATGGCCGCCGTGGCCGGCGGGCTGCGGCCGCGCACCGTGCTGATCCGAAGGCAGGAGCCAGTTACTTATCCTGGTCTCCCATGGGGTGCAGGGCCCAAGCACTTGGCCATCCTCCACTGCACTCCCTGGCCACAGCAGAGAGCTGGCCTGGAAGAGGGGCAACCGGGACAGAATCTGGCGCCTCCACCGGGACTAGAACCCGGTGTGCTGGCGCCACAGGCAGAGGATTAGCCTATTGAGCTGTGGCGCCGGCCATCCAGGAGCTTCTTTTGAGTCTCCCATGCAGGTGCAGGGGCTCAAGGACTTGGCCATCTTGTATTGCTTTCCCAGGCCACAGCAGAGAGCTGGATCGAAAGTGGAACAGCTGGGACTCGAACTGGCACCCGTATGAGATGCCAGCACTGCAGGTGGCAATTTTACCCGCTTTGCCACAGCGCCAGCCCTGAGTATGATTATTGAAATGTTTGCATTAAAACGTTAAAATCTGTTATCTTCTAGCTGTTTTCAATTTATTCTGTTACTTGTTTCTTTTGCCCTCTGTTTCTGCCTTCTCATGGCTTAAGTGAGCCCTCCTTATTATTCCATTTCTCTCTATTATTAACTTACCATTCATAACTTTTTTTGTTTGAGTAGTTGCTTTAGAGTGTAAAGTATACATCTTTATTGAGTTTGAGACTTCTTTTATATGGAAGTATATTCTCAATTCCATCCTTATATCCTATATGTTATATATTTTATACTTTCTGCCATACATTTTACTTGTATGTATGTGATAAAAATATAATACATTGCTACTAATTTTTGCTTTATACAATCATTTTTCTTTCTAAGCAATTAAAAATAGGGAGAAAAAACTCATTTATGTATTCCATTTCCAGCGCTCTTCACTTCTGTCTTCAAATTTCTGCTGTCATATTTCTTGCATCTGATGAACTTTATTTACTATTTCATATAGTTTGGATCTGCTGGCAATGACTTCTCTGTTTTGTTTTGTATGAGAATTACCATGTCTCACTCATTTTGAAAAACGTTTTCATTGGACCTAGAATTCTGAGTGAATAGATTTTTAAAAATTTTTTAT